TGAGGGCTACAGAGATTGAAAGAGATCAAATCATGGAAACCTGTTAAGGATAATGGATTTCAACCCAAGGCCAATGGTAAGTTACTGAAAAACTGTTACTCAGAATCATCAATGTCTTTTGATGATTAGTCATAATAGTGGAATTTCAAATTTTAACTAAATCAACACCAAAAGCTTAAAAATAAATCATTCCCATATTTTAAGCAACAAATATGTACCCAGAGCCTATCAAGGATCAAATTCAAGTTCTACATGTACTAGCTGTATGATTTTGGTCAATTTATTTAATACTTCTGTGCCTCAAATTCCTTATCTATAAAATGCGTTATCTTATTAACCCTCATGAGAGTAATATGAGGATGAAACAGGTAGTCTCACAACAGGGGCTCACACATCATAAATGCTATGTAAGGATCAGCTATGATCATTGCTGCATTATTTATGAAGACTGGTCTATACCTGGCCATTCAGAAACCTCTCCATGTTTACCCCAAACATAAGGGCAGCCTCTGAGGCTGGGTATGGAAGAACCCATGATCACAAACTTGGGGGACCCATGCTGTAGCGACCAAGGTAACAAGCTCCAGTAAGCTCCAGCTGGGCCCCTCTGTGCTTGTTCCTGCACAGCCCACCACTTACCACACTCCAATCACCTTTTCAAGGGCAGTACTAGACTCTGCTCCTAGAAAGCAGAGCCTATGACTCACTCACTTCTGTAGTCTCTGTGCCTACTAAAGTATCTAGTGTATAGTCAGCCTTCTGCATATACTCATTGCATGAACATCCAATAAGAAACATAACCAACACATTTGCTAGGAAAATTATTTCCTGTTAGTTATAACCAAAGTTTTGGGTCAACTGAATGAACTTTCCTTATGAATGACATCAGATGATTTACAAGAAATATTATTCTTATGTAAAGACTAGCTCTGAGAAAAACTTTATGAGAAATAAATCATTCTTCCATTACCTATGCAGATGTGGGGAAGGACAGCTGAGTAACAGGGCCCTGGGAAGAACAGAAACCTCTTCTCCTCTTTCCTCTGAAACACCAGGAGCTAAATCTCTCTTCTGGGTGATATCTGCAACAACTTTAGGCATTTCACTGATTTTCTTATGAAAATTAAGTGCTAAAGACAAAGGGTACTTCCATTCCTCTGGACAGGCGGCCACAGACCAGCACTGCTTTACCCATGTGTATACACAAGTGTGTTTTGTATTAGGCAAAGGCATCTCCTCCCGCCCATCTGTTCCATTTACACAGCTCTTCTTCTCAGAAGGTTCTCTGGATTTCTTGATATGGCAATAAAGTTCATTTTCTTTGTCCATTAGTTTCTGTCCCGATAAACTTTCAAAAGTACAGTTTTTGTCGGCTTTTTCAATTAGTTTGCCCCTTTTGGCTTGATTATTTTTTTCTGACAATATCGTAGATAAGTCTGGCTTCTGGCTAACTTTACACAAAAAGTGTACTGTAAACTCATGCTGAGCTTTGGGCAGGCAAAGGTGTGCATGACCATCTACAGAAGATATCTTCACAGTGCCACTCTCCGTACACATCATGGCATCATCAGTGTCGGGACCAGGCCATCTCACTTCTGAGATGTCAATGAAGTTTCGCTGAATTGAGGGGGAAAAAGATGGTGAGGATCTTCTGTAAACAGTCCAATTTTTCCACACATTTGATACTTAAGTACTGTGCAAGAATGCTCTTAAAATTGTTTGCATTTTACCACCGAGAGAGAATGAAAAATGACCCAGGTGCTAGCCTATTCTTAGGTAAAGACTAAATATGGAAGAATCCATGATCATAAACTTGGGGGACCCGTGGTCTTCCTACAGAATATTTGATATTGTTACGATTACCTCTCAGAAAAAGAGAAGTAAAACACACGTACATATGCACTGGTTAAAACAAAACAAAAAAAAAAAAAAAAAGAGAGAGGAGAAAAGAAAAGAAAAAAATCATATTGATTATAGTTAGCACTGGATTAAGTATATTTTGGTTTAAAATGTACACTATGTACTATAAAGCAGAGAGGTGAGGCCCTTCCCAAAAGTCTACTCTGAAAATTAAAATAAGGGAGGTACAACACTATAATGTGTTACATTCAAAGAAAAGTAACTTAAGTGGTATGCAACTATATAAAATACCATTGATAAAACATCTTAAAGGATACAGAAAAAGAATCATGTCTTAAAATGTTACATGTGATAAAGTAAGCTTTGCAAATCAAGGGAGATAGGGAAAATTATTTATTAAATGGTATTGAAATTGCTGAATAATATCTGGGAAATGCTATCTCAGAGGATTATTATATGGAATAAGCAGGATAAGATGTGTGAAGTACCTGCCCTGATAGTACCTGGCACACCAGACACCAAAATAAATTCCAGATGGCTTAAAGAGTAACATTAAAAAAATAAATAAATTACTCAGCAAAACAGATCCTGACTAAGAGCAAATGACTCACAACAGATACTGCCTATGTCATGTCTTCACACTTTTTCATACAAAATAAACACAGTAGGTGTTCTTGAACCGAAACTATCCTCTGAGATCATCTTTTAGCAAAACAGCAGAGTGACACACAAAACAAAGGATATTACCTGTAAGAACAATGCCCTACTGAAAAACCAACTGTATAAGACCAAAAGGTAAATATTTACTCTAAAGCAAGATGAGAAAATAAGTGAGCAGGGAAACCGGACTACTGGAAATGGAATAGCCAGAACACAATTAAAGAGAATGCTGACACATTGCCAAAAATGTAACTTATGTCACTGAACAATTTGTGTGGAAATTGTCAAATGGGAACATAACTTGCTGTGTAAACTTCCATCAAAAACACAATAAAATCGTATTTTAAAAAAGTAGGTATTGCATGAGAACCTTTTAATTGATTAATTTTGCCCAGCTATTAAAGACTTCAACTCCCATTTACCTAAAACATTAGATTTATTTTAAAAAATTACTGTCAAGAAAATTCAAATTTACACTGATACTTATGTGTATAATTTGAGTTATTTCATGTACTTGACTCTATGGAACATGCTCTATGGACACCGTTGTTAGGATGATAAAATTAGGGGCTGCATTCACTGACAGCAAAGCTAGTTTGTAGGGATGGTCAGTTAAAAAGTTCTCTCTACTGGAATTAGAATATCCAATAATCCAACTACAGCATTAGAGGCAAACTATTCAGTTTTAATGAGTAAAGACAATAGAAAAATAGTCTTCCAGATGAAGACACAGCTTATACTTTCTGATGGCTCCCTTGCCACTACACAATATAATAGAAAATTCCTCAGTAGGCAGGCACGTATCACAACAGCAGCAGAAAAGTAGCAGAAAACAGTTAAAAGACACAATCTTCAGAGTCATATAGACTATGGTTCTAATTCTTTGTCACTTAGAACCTGTCAATGGACAAACTACATTATGCTCTCTGAGGCTTGGTTTCCTCACCTGTAAAATGGGGCTGATACTCAGCCAATATACCTGTTCTGATCTGGTGCCCATTTTGATTAGCAAGTACCCATGTCATATTCATGTTATTAAGTATGTTTAATACCATTCTTAGTTCTTGGCATGTATAAACCCTCAATAAATGACAGCTATTATTATTATCCCAAAAAGTTCAAAATAAAATGTAAGCATAAGAATATAATCTCTGGTAGCACAGTGCCTAAGGCACTTGACTGCTAACCAGAAGGCTGGCGGTTCAAACCCACCAGCCACTCCTCGGAAGGATGGTCAGGCAATCCTACTTCCATAGTGTGACTGCCTCGGAAACCCAAGGAGGGGTTGCTAGGAGTCAGGGCCGACTCGATGGCACATAACAACAACAACACCACTTCTACAATATACTGAAAAATAACTACACAAAAGCTATTAGAAATGGTCTCATAATTTCTTAATTTTAAGACCTCCAAGAATAAAAAAGTCACCAATCTGAAAAATTTTGAATATAATCCTTGGCTACAGCAAAAGAGGCAAGTAGATGAACTATTTAACTTCTGTGTTCTCAATCAATATACAAAGTATCAAAACACTGCTGTCTGGTGATGTATATGAGTTCACATTCTACCACAAAGATTTTATCCTCAAGTGTCATAAAAAAATCTTGAAGCACCTGTTTCTAATTACTTATCGTCAAATACTACTTATGAAAACCAAATACTACTTATGAAAACAAGGCTGACAGAAAACTTACCTTTTTTCTTTCAGAAGGTATGATGCTTTCAGATAGAAAAGGACAAGTGGCAGAAGAGTTTCGAAAATCTAGGGCTTGTTGGAGCTGCTTCTACAAAAAGAAATATAAAGTATAAGCTTATTTGAAAATCAATCTCGAATGATGCTGATCTGGAGTACTAATTACTTTTCATATTCTGGCCCACCTCTACCAGATTTTAATATTAAACAGAGTTGTTTTTATGTTATCTTTACTTACTCGGAAAGTGCTAATAACAAACTGTGTCCTTTGACGAATTCTTTCTGGCTGTTCTAAAGGGTGTGCTGAAACAGGAGGTGCCTTTTCAAATAAAAATTCAGAGCCACAGGGAGAAAGCTGCAATTTGGAACCATCGGTATATTGTACTTGCACAGAATCATCTTCATAAAGTACCATTCGAACTACAGCTGCCATTACTATGACCACAAGTAAGATGTTCTTCCAAGGCAGAGGCTGAATGAGCTAGGAAAAACAATAGTACAAAGAGTTCTCTTAATGTATGAAAGTTCTATCAAAATAAAAACATACTCAAACATGGTGGTATTGCATTTATTTTTGTTGGAGAAAAAGTGGTATCTTACTACACTTAAAGGATATGAAATGAACATCCTTTACAGAATGCCTTGATTAACTCCTAGGGCTTTGCTTCAATGTGAAGAGATAATCTACAAGGAGAAGATAAAAACCCACTGTCACTAAATCAATTCTGACTCATAGTGACCCCCACTGGGTTTCCAAGGCTGTACATCTTTACAGACGTAAATTGTCTCATCTTCCTCCCTCAGAGCAGCTGGTGGGTTTGAACCGCTAACCGTCTGGTTAGCAGCCAAATTCCTTACCCACTACACCACCAGAGCCCCTTACAGAGAGAAGATGGCCCACCAAATTGTAATGGTCCTGGTAGTTTTTGTAGCTTTACTTCTCCTGTCATTCAGTTTCTATAAATTATATGCTGTACCTCATTTTACATTAACAAGCAAATTTCACCTCTGCAATAAGAATGCAACATACATTTGTAATCAAATGTATGCTTTTTCTATCTAAAAATGTCATACCTTTTGAAATTAAAAAACATAAGTTTTTTGAAGTTTCATTTTCATAAGTAATATCTGAAGATAAGTAATTAGAATCTGGTGCTTCAATATTTAGTTTTTTTCTCTATGACATTTGGGTATAGAGATTTTGGTGTAAAAAGCAACAGCCAAAAGTATCTATTCAGCCTAAGAGAAAAGAACAACTGAAAAAGAAATTTTAAAAATCTGGATTCTAGTCCCCAGCCTGGCATTAAGAAGCAGTTTCATGTCACCACTGAGCAAGTTAACCTCCAAGTGTTTTAAGATTCCTTATTTCACTCCTCAAATTACTCTATCTCCATCTACACTCTCCACACATAGGTGGTACGGAAAGGGACTTAGAGGGTCAGGTTTTATCCACACTCCATCATTTACTAGCTGTAAGATAGGTAGGTATTTTGGGTTTCCTTCCTCCCTCATCTGTAAAATGGGGATAGTAATAGGATTGTTGAGAGGATTAAATGAGACAACACATATGACAGGCCCCTCTTCGGAAGGAAGGTTGGGCAATCTACTTCCGTAGTGATACTGCCTCGGAAACCAAAGGAGGGGTCGCTATGAGTCTGGGCCGACTCGATGACACGTAACAACAACAACAACAACCATTGTGAAAAGGAGCTCTAGTGGTATAGTGGTTAAGGCATTTGCCTATTAACCAAAAGGTCAGTAGTTCAAAGCACCAGCTGCTCCATGGAAGAAATATGGGGCAATCTGCTTCTTTAAAGATGTACAGCCTTGGAAACCCAATGGGGTTGCTATGAGTTGGAATCACCTAGATGACACTGAGTTTGGTTTTGGTTTTTTGGAGTACTGTGATAGCACTACAGGAGCACAATAAATCTTATGAAATATTGCTAGTCCTTTCTCAGACTAATCACACTCCCTTTCCACTACTAATGTGGGCAAGTTTCACCTGTCAGAAAAAAATAAACCTCCATAGATACCTTTCCCCAGTTTACTCTTACTTCCTACCATCAGTTTTCCCGCGTGGAGTACCTGCTCACTGCCCACTTTTTGGCCCTTTAGTCCTCAACTCACTGCGGTCTGGCTTCCTCCTGCACCTCTCTAACTGAATTTGTTTCACAGCAGTCACCAATCTCTTCCTAAACTCCAGTCTTCAGCTCACGAACCCTGCTCAGTCTGTGACAGTGCTATCTAGCTTCCCCTGCACCAAACTTTCTCTTCCCTGCCTTTTTTATTTTTTTAAACATTGCATTACCATGGTTTTTCTCCCTACTTTTACTTACGTTTTAATCATTCCTCTTCACTATTCTCTTAAAATCAAACATGCTGCAAGACCTGACCTTAGTCCTCATTTCACCTCTTCTTACTATATATTCTTTTGTACTTTTACACCCCACCCTTGTTTTTGCCTGTCTTACCCACTTACAATGGCTGTAACCTAGCTACAATTACTGTCTACCACCTCTGTCAGTTTATCATATTGTGGTGGCTTGTGTGTTGCTATGACACTAGAAGCTATACCACCAGTATTTCAAACACCAGTATGGTCAACCATGGTGGACAGGCTTCACTTCAGCTTCCAGACCAATACAGACTCTGAAGAAAGCTGGTGATCTACTTCCAAAAATTAATCAATGAAAACTTTAGATTACAACAGAACACTGACCAATTCACTTGCTTTGGACACATCATCAGGATGGATTAACTGCCAGAGAAGGACATCATGTTTGATAAAGTAAAGGGCCAATGAGGGTGTGGGAGACTCTGTGAGATGGACTGGCAGAAGGCCACAATGATGGACTTGAACGTGCTGGCAACTGTGAGGAGGATGCAGGACTGGGCAGCACTGATCTGTTGCACATAATGTTGGAGTTGACTCAAGAGCAGATAACAGCAACATGTGGTATAGCCTGTAATATTGTGTAGAATATAAGTAAATATGAAATGTTATGGTCTGTCCTGGAATTTTATCTATATTCCTAATTTTAACTATTTTCCTTCTCTAGAGAACTTCCAAGTCTATTTGACCTCTCTCCAAAGCTTTCAGCTGTCTATAAACCCCTCTCCATGTGCCTGTCCCAGAGATACAGGAGGCTCAACGTGACTAAAATGGAACTTAATCATGCCCATCAAATGAGCATTTCTGTGTTGTTGTTGTTATGTGTCGTTGAGCATTTCTGTAGTATATCCTAAATAGGTCACTCTTTAACTCTATTTCTTCACTTCCGATCTGCATTCAGTTGACAGATGTTTTAAAAATAAAAAATCTCATCTGTCACACTGTAGCACCCACAGTTTCCATTTGAACTCAGAAAAATTCCAAATGCCTAACCAGGGCCTACAAAGCCCATAGAATCTGGCCCTATCTACCCCCGAAATGTCATCTCCTAATTCCTTCTCCCTTTGTTCAGGGCAGTTTAGCCATATTGGCATTTTTTACTGTGTTTTCAACAAGTTCTTTTGCATCTTAGAACTTTTTGCTCTTCTGCCTGTCATGTCCTCTCCCTGGCTCATCACATGCCTGGCTCTTTGTCATCATCAAGGTCTCAGTACAAATGTCATTTCCTTAAAGGCCTGGCATGACTAATTCAGCAACAATTGTTTTCTATCCTCTTCCAGTCACTTTTTATCCTAGTCCCTCTTTTTTCTTCATAGCATCGACCACTATCAAAACAGATTCAGTTTGACTTACTTTTCCTTTTCTTCCACTAGGATATAATTCAGCCAGAGTAGAGGGCCTTATCTGTCTTATCCACAGTTGTATCCCTGGCATCTAAAACAGTATTTGGTAAGTAATTAACAAAACAAAATAAAACCAGTTGCCATGGAGTCTGATTCCGACTCATGGCGACCCTGTACTGTCCGAGTAGAACTATATTCCAGTGCTTTCAATCACTGACTCTTCCCAAGTAGATCACCAAGACTTTCTTCCCAGGTACCTCTGGGTGAATTCAAACTACCCTTTCAATTAGCAGCAAGTGTGTTAACTGTCTGCACCACCCACGAACTCCTTGATAAATTAACAAAGGCACAATATTCATTGAGTGATGAAAGAATAAATAAGTGAATTTTTAAAATCCCCACTCCTTCCGAATTTGCAGTTTGAGTTACTGGCGCCTCAACGTTAGTAGTCAATGTTAGCAATATTTGATTTCTCATTCTGCCTCCCTCCACAGCCCTGTAACCTCCTCCAACACGCTGTAACAACTCCTGTTGATATTATCTGTTTTTCTCTCGATCCTGACTCTTTTCCTTTTTTTATTTCAGGCCATCAACTCTCCCCTCAACTCCTGCAACTGTCTAGGCCCTTTTTCCAATTTCCTCCCGCTCTAATCCATGTCTACTATTGCTGTCATAGCTAACTTTTCGAAATCCAGACAATATCAACTGCTTTACATCACTGCACACTGTGTAATGTCTCAAGTTCTTGGCATATCACAAGAAATTATAATACAGCTCCAAATCATACTTCCAAACTCATCCCTACAGTCGTCTGCCTGTTTGCATTCTAATTACCCAGCACATTACGTCAGAGTATGTTTAACGATCGAAAAGCGACAAGTCTATTCTCCACTATAATGGAACTTTATTTTTCAAAATGCGTTATACAGTTACAGAAAAAGCCTCATGAAAACAACAACCAAACGTCTTGGACTCACACAGTAACTCCGTGAAAAGTTGTGGAAATGAGACCAATTAACGGCGCCTGTGTCTGATTTGCCAAACTGCTGGAGGCCGTAGCGTCTGCGCCTGCCCACGACTGCTTCTCAAGCGATATTTTTGATCAATTTAACAAATTACCAACAACAAGAAAAGGAATCACTGTCGTAGAGAAGTAAGGCCACAGGAAGGGTGCCGTGGCCCAGACATTCGCCAAGGCCAAGTAGCTGGAGAAAACATTCTGCGCCCGCTTGACCCGGCAGACAAAGGCCCCGCAGAAGCAATTCAAATCTTACCGCGCACTCGGGAAGTGACTGCACTTCCCCTAAAAAACAAGTTACGAAATCCCACCCTCCCGGCCCGAGGCCATGCCCAATCGCGCTTCCGGTGAAGGGCGTGGCCGGAAGCAATGAATCAGAGGGACCGAGAAAGCTAATTGGGGGGCTAGAGCCAATCACCAGTCGGAAAGCTGTGGGTTCTCCAAACCAAAACCAAACTCGCTGCTCCAAAGTGGGATACGACTCCTAGCGACCCTTCCTTGGATTTCCGAGGAGATGTGACTGCCTAACCTTCCTTCTGAGGAGGAGTGGCTAGTGGGTTTTCAGTGGGTGGTTTAGTGGGCTCTTCCTTGGTCATTACTCCGGGTACCTCACAAGAAAGCGACCCAGCCTGATTGTCATAAAGCTAGTGAGGACAAACTTCCTCATGCTTTAGCCT